CAGATGCACACACAAAAACGCATGTGCATGTATGTGATAGGTTTCCAAGTCCTGTATAGTCTACCATATTTTGATATACGGGGTACCTAAACATATTTTTAGGGTATCGGTCATGTCGGTCATTCCACTGTGTTTACAGGTGTTGCTTGTAAGAACAAGGTGAGCAGGATTTGGCTTGTATTTGGGGAGGAGAATGCCCTCTGTATCAAGTGGTTCAGTCCAGTTTCATGTTTGCAAAATCAATTCACCAGACCTTTAAGTCCAACCATCTTCACAAAAAATGAGCTCTATTGTCATTGTAGTTTCTTTTACAGAAGTAAGTTTTGTTTTATTTTTTCCTTCAAGATTAATGATGTTGTCCATTTCATCTTATAAAATGATGTCAGGGCCTGATCCTGTCACAGTTGTATACTTAAAACTTTGGTTAACATCTGTGAGCCAAATCCTGCTCAGCTTACTCACATGGGCATCTGCTAGCCTGATTGATTTTACTTTCCAGTTATAAATAAGAAGCAGATTTCTTATAGCTAATTGAGTCTTTAATATCACCATAGAAAGTAGTACGAGATCAGAATCAGCCCTAGAGGGACTACATGCACTCAAAAAACTACCCAGATGTTGCCCAGTGGAAATTTTGGGCATACAAAGGAAGAATTGAAATTAAGCAGGTTATCCTATATCAAATTTTGCTGTTGCAACATCTCTGTTCAAGAAACCCTTTACCAGTTAAAAACTCTCGCAGTTTCCACCAGATTTGAAGCATCAACGAAAGAGTAACATGTCAGATTGGCTTTGTATGACAGGAGACTCTTGTCTTTTCTATTGCTCTTTTCTAGATTTAGCAAAATTCAGTGGTGGTGGTAAATCAATTTTTTTTTGAAACTTTCAAGGGAAAAAACACTGGTAAAATTGTGTTTTCTAGGAAGGCTGTGTGTGTAAATGAGAAACAGTGGATAGCAGTGGAGTGATCTCCTGTGGCCCTGCTAGTACAAGATTTCCCCATATTGTCTCCTGCTTTTATATTAATTACAACTTGCATTATCAGCTGTGAGTCTGTAGCACAGCAAATAGAAAATACTGCCCCTCGAGACCTAGCTTCTTGTATCTATTTTCCATCTCCTTCTATTGTGCTCTACTCAGTATTCACTGCTTTTCTTCTAGTAACACTGCTCTTTAACACAATTAGGTAAGAGCAAGTGGAGTACCATATTTGACTCCAATTATTAAAACTACTGGGAATCGATACATGTGTTCTGTTCACTTTCTGTGGTGTCTGGCATTAGTTTAGGTCACATGTATGTGAAATTTTTATAGGATGCATACATACAGAAAACAGGCAATTTCATTTTGGCAGACATCACACTCTTCAGTGTGTTTCTGTAAAGTATATTACTAAACTACTAAACTCGCAAGAAGATACAAGAAGCTATGCTAGGAGGTTGTGTAATTTATCTGAAGCTATCTGGTTTTCTGTGGTGGTTTTTAAAATTTTTTTTGTTTTGTGTTTCTTCTTGGTTTTTTGCTTTTGGGTTTTTTTTCAAATGTGGTAACTTAATACAATTTTCATTGAAACTAACAGAAAAATTGCAACTACTACTAGCGGGCTTTAGACCATGATTTCTTTAGTGAAACTGATAAAGTGATTCCAGTGAAGTACACTTTAGATGTGTCATTTGGTCCCTTTTTTTTTTTCTGTGAAGACATACATAAATTAACTATTTATAATTGGTTATTTATCCAATTATTTTTCTTGAGGGATGTGAAGATGGAAACAGTGTTGAAGAGAAAAAGAGAAGTTCACAGACATGTACAATGATCTTAGTTCAAAGAAAAAGAATGCTGCCTTTTTATGAGGCTGTAAACTCCACCCTTAGAATTATATGTCATTTTTTATAATATTAAAGCCTGGATATTTTCCTCCCTTTAAAATTCCTCCAACAATCCACTGTCACATCTAGTAAATATCTCATATTTTCTGTCCTTCAACAAAATTCTGCCAAATTGCTTCCTCAAGAAAACTGTGTCACAAGAAATACTCTGAATTCCCAATCAATACAGTCTGTCTTTCTAAAATGGGAATCTACAAACTGAGGTCAAGAACAACTCAGCCTGGTAGAGACAGCAAGTGTTTTCAGCTGTGGGAAGTCTCATTCAGTGATCCTTTCCAAATTGTTATGGTTTTGAAATAGAAAGGCCGGTCTAGCTTTTGAAACACGGTATGATTGGTTTTGGATGACATTTGCCTTAAAACATAGCTGAGCTGTTACCAGTTAATTATTGTAATTTTCATACATGTGATAAGGAGCTCCAACAGCAGCCAGCATAAGAGAGCCTGCAGTACACAAAATTAGCATAACTCACTGTGTTCCCTGAAAAGTTTAGCCTAGATGAACATGTAGTAATTATTACATTTTCTAAAAGAAGGTTCCAGCATGATGTTGTTGGAGGGGTGAACTCATGCTATGCTATTGTTTCTTTCCTTTTTCATGTATTTCTTCTAGCTCTTTATCTGATTACCATCCGGCAAACAGCTGACGCTAAGAGGCTGCAGAGGGCTGAAGAGCTCCTGTCTGCTGTTTGCCTTCAGCTTGAAGCTATTTGAGTGGCTTCCTAACTAAGAGATAAAAAGAGAAGCTCATAGGCACAACTGTGTTTTAATCCAGGCTGTAAAGAAACTTGCTCAGTTTTTGCATTTTATTTCCATTTGAACTTTTTGCTAACCTTATTTTTAACTTTTTTTTTGTTCTTTTTGATAACATCTGGGCTGCTTCAACTTTCAAGACTTCTCATCTTTCTTTTTGTGTTTCTCTCCACCTGACTCTGTAAAACAATGGTAAAATATGGTAGTTTAGGGTTTGGGTTTTTTTTAATAGGGTTTTGGGTTTTTTAATGAAATTGTGGGGGGTTGCAGTATTAATAGTGACTTCTGATAATTAGTACAATAACCTCAATGAATATAAAATACTATTGTTTGCTAGCATTTTTCTTCCTGTTGTAGTTCTATGTGAGCTAAAGTAGATCAGTCTTCTAGGTTTTGGAGGGGGTGGTGATTTTGTGCCACAAGTGCTGTTGTGCTGTCTGTTGTGCTGACAGGTTAGGCAACTTTTGGATCCTGACCTCTCTTCTGATTTTGTTCATATTTTCCTGACATGGAACCACATACATTGGTGCATGTGTGTGTCTGTCTTTGTAAGGTGAAGGAAATTTGGATCCTTCTTACCCTTTGGTCACCTGAGACTTTACTGGGAACCTTTTGAAGTCATGGGCTCTTTCCTTTGTCTCTGCTGTGATCTGGGTCAGGCCCATCAGATTTATGTTACTGGGTATTGTATCAAGCCATTATTTGGCAGTTCTATTCTGTGTTGCTATAGAGCATGTGGTACTAATCAGTGCCAGGAGATTACTTTGAGATGTTTCAATATAGATTTTGGGACTTGGTCCCAATCAGACTTACACTATATTTTACAATGAGTAAGTCAGTTGGTTTTGTTGAACTTATTCCTACTACATGTTGGGGTAGATGAGGTCAGAATCAGTCCTGCTCAAAGAATTTATCCAAACTTGTCACTTGCTGTTTTCAGGTTCTCCTCCTACTTTAATAGTGTGGTGTTATTTTACAATGCAGATTTAAACCATAATCAAACCTAAAAAGGTTTTTTCAAAAACATTTTTGAGGGGGTATTTATTGTTTGTTTCATTGTTGAATTATTATAATGTGCTTGATTTAAATTGTCACATACAGGTGACAAGAAATGCAGGTCCAGCCCTTAGTCTGATCTGTTTCATGTGTTCTTGCTCTCCTTTTTTGCTAGAGGAAATTCCATCTCTTGCCTGCCTTCATGTGGTGCTGATAAAGCTCTTCCTGTACAGTAGAATTCCTGTTTTCCTTTAAGCAACAGCAGGGTATTGGGAATGATCAGGAAAGGGGAGGAGGACAGGAGGAGAATACACTCAACAAAGTAGCACTAAACTGTAGCATTAAGTTTTCCTCACCCTTTTAAATAGCAGCTTCTCTCTCCAGAAAAGCCAATACTCAATAAATTAGAAGTATGCATGAATTATGTGACTAAAGTACAGTAGTTGAGGTCTTGGACAAGTTTTGCAAACTATGTATGTCTGTCTTCTGTGTTCCCTTTTGTAGTGTTTTATGCATGTAATGCATAATGTAGCAATGTAGAAAGAATTATGTAAAAATCACTATACATGTTATTTTATACAATCACCTCATGATTATTCTTGACAATCCTTGTAAACAAACCCCTTGAATGATACATCTAGAAAGTCCTTTGAAATGTGTCATATCAAGGTGTGTGTGTGTGTGTTTGGGGTGGGGTGAGGAGGCATCTTTCCCAGTATTTGATGTCTTTCTGAGAAATCTTGTATTTTTCCATCACCGCTTTGAATTTATTGGAAGTTTTTCGAGCACTTAAATTGGTGACAGAGAGGGTAGGGAGTGAGGAAACAGTCCTCTCCCATGCGTGTTCTCCTGTACTTCTTGCAACACTGTCCCTTCTCTTCTCCCCTTGCAGCTCTAGTCAGACTGGAAAAACAAAGTGTGGGGAGATAGCCTCCATTCCAACTATCCTGATTCTAATGGGAACACCTAGTATCATAATCTGTGTGGGTTGATGCTCTCTCCCCACTAACCTGTAGAGCTCATTAAGAAACTTAATTTTTAAATTCATTTTTTTTATATCCTGAAATATTCTTCTGCAGTCCTATTCAAACAATGAAATCCAGAAAACTCTTTGGAAAGTTTAAAACAAGAAAACAAAATCTGTTCTGTGTTTTAACTAGTAAATCTTTGTACTTCCTCTGCTTGTCTTTGCTGAAGAATTATTACACTGTGCAAACAGTATTGGTGTTTGGCACATTTCACAAATGCTAATGTGTATACTTTCCCCCTTCCTCCTCTCCTCTTCTCCCGGTTTTCTTTCTGTTCTTCATTTGCTATTGGAATGGGAACCCTGGAAAAAAATTCCTTGGCACTCTGACACCAGAATCCTTCATCTTGGAGAGACCATGATGATGCAACCTCAACGCACTCAGCAGGCACACCGGGGCCCTCCAGCGGGGGCCACGCTTCCCAGAGTGGAGACAACAGCAGTGAGCAAGGTAAAAGGTCAAACTTTTTCCCTCTGCAAAGTAGGCATGACTAAAATAACTCCAGTTTTTTTCATTATATCAGTACATCTGCCTTAGAGTAAACACAGAGTGGCAGACTTGCAGTATAATCAGCTGTAACTTAGGGAGACGGTATTTCCTTTTCCTAACCTGCTTAGCTGCATTTTATTATTATTTCAAAGTGAAATATCTAATCTTCAAACAAGCTTTGTAATAACAATTGATTAGTTCTGCCAATTCCTTTACAAATTTGGTTATCTACAGTTTATTTTTGTGTGGTGTAAGTAAATAGAATGACAGACATACTCTCCAGCTGCAATGCAGTTGTTTGAATTGGGTTATAGATGGAGAGTTTAACCAGTAGTTTTAGCTAGGGAAGAGACTTCTATATAAAATTATGAAGCTGATAAATTATATAAAATAGAAGCAAACCCCAAATGGGACCAAAAAATGTTTCTTGTAATGTTTCCTTGCACAGACTTGTTTCTGCTTCTCAAAATCTGAATGGTAAATAGAGATGTACCTGAAATGCAAAACCTCTGCTGTATCTGTACAGTGACATCTTTGATCATAATTTCAGGGTTTTTTGTTTTATTTCCTACTGCATTGCACCTTATGCGTGGTCATCTCTACCCACACTGAGTGAGTGTCAAAGGCTTTCATTCTGATATGATAGGGTTTTACACCTGCTAATTAGAAGAATAAGTAACTCCAGAAAGTATAAGAGTCAAACCTCCAGTGCTAAAAGTTGGGTAAAAATGGTTTGCTGTCACTCTTGGATCTTGACTCAGAGTTGATTTTTTTTTTTTTTCCTTTAAGGCCAAAGTTTAAGGTGGACTCTGTTCTTGTTTTACTTTGTAAATGTGGTAAGCTTCTGCTAGTGAGAGAGACTTTACCTTTATAAGGTAATGATATGCTCCCACCATGAGATGTTTCTCATGTATCTGCGGCATTTTGCCTCTGTGTTTTCTCCCACGTACTCCGCAGAGCCAGCTGGCAAGGCTGACATCCAACTAACCATGAGGGATCCCAAAACTGTAGAGGGGAGCAGCCTTCAGGGCTAGAACTGCCATGACTAGCCTCATGCGGCGGACTGCTTCCTGCCATGAGATTTGCCAAACTTAGGTGGCAGAGCAGACGTGCTTTCACATCTCTCCCATGGCCCACTGCTTGGCACAGAGCTAGATCTCGTTGTCTGTCTCAGGATCTGGTGTTGCAACTGTTGTGATTCTAGGAACTTGCAAAGTTTGTTTCTGGTAGAGAGGTTTGGTTTTATCTCTTATTTGTAAGAATTGTTTATACATTTGTAATCTTATTGCTGATAGAAAATAGCAACAGCACAGGGGGTGATCCAACTCCAACAGAAGTTACAAGGATTTTTTTCTATGGGGTTGGATTGGAGCTGTACAAGATGCAGCATGAACAATTACAGCTTCAGCAGCAAATGAAAGGGAGAGCTTGACCACTAAAGAGCGTATTGGTGTTATGTCTATTAGCTGTAATGTCTGTTAGGCTTTACTGTTGATCAAATGTTTACATGGTATATTGTGACTAAGATGCTTGGTGTAGCAGATGATCATTTGCATACTTAAAAATGATTCCTTTGAGTGATCTGCCACAGCATCTTCATTCCACCCCTAAGCAGGAAATTTCCTCACACCTGTATCTGCACTCTGCCCTGGCAATCCCTCAAAAATTTTAAAAGTTTCTTCATTGAGCCATACTTGATGTAGAGAAATCCTTTGTATCAACACCCAGAGATCTTGCATTTCACTAGTCTCTGATCCCTTGTCATGCAACTCAGGGTGCTTGAGAAGTATTGCTAAGCATAAGAAAGAGCAGTTGGAAATAACTGCACCAATTTCCCGTTCAAACTTGCAGTTTCTGCGAGTATACATGATTTCAACAAACCTGTTAAACTCATTTCTGCAGAAGGGGAACAACCACTGAAGGGCCAAAATCAGTCACTAGCACTGTCCTGTCTAGCAGGGTAAAACATCACTAGTATGATTTCCTTTGTGGTCTGTTGGGCCTTTTAAAGGGAAACAGACATCCAGTGGCAAATCACCATTCCACTCAGCTGCTGGAAGCTGAAAGATGATTCTACAGCACCAGCAAAATTCCCATTGGAGATGACTTTGGATTGCTCTCCCTCTGTGTCTTGGGAAAGACTAAAGAGGGAGGTCTGTGTTGAATTTTCCTTATGCTTGCTTGATGGGGACAGGGTTTACCTTATAATTTGTGAACTGGCAGTGAGTTGCCTCAGGTTATGCCAAGGTGGATAAATGCCCCCTTGAGCTATTTTGGTGCAGTTACTTATTTCTGCCAATTTGGTTTCCTGGCAACTTTGTCAAGAACTTTCACAAATTTTGCTTCAAGTATTCCACTTGCACCAAAGGATTTCTTGAAAATGGGAGCTCATTAGAAAGTCTTGGGTTACATTAGCAACTTATGGTCTTCTCCACTAATGCCTGGTGGCAGCAGAGATTGATTAATACTAGAGTCTGTCTCTTCTGGCTTTTGAGAGCACTCCTTCCAGGGGTCTCTGCTTTTGCTTTAAGTCTATAATGTGCATCTTTTGAGGTTTCTTTCTTTTATTATTTTTATTTTGTTTTGGGGAGGTGGGGGGAGATGGAAAGGAGTTGGGTGAGTGATGATGTTTTTTTTGCAGACTTTCTCTGCATGAGGTAGATTGATTTATTACCTGGAAGAATCCATGCATAACTCTTAAAGTTCGAGCCAAATAAAAAAAGTTGTAGGCATTTTGTCTGTTTATGGAGGACAGTCTATCCACAGCAGTGCATGACTGCCCTTTGGCATCAAAAGGGTTAATTTAGTCCATGTTTGGTGTTATTAGAAACACGCTGGCATTGAAGGAGCTAAAGAAAGGGCCTTCAGGCAGTAAATGTTGAAAGATTATCCTAATTTTATTAGTGGTGAGTGTCTATGTTGTTCTTAACATGACACCTCACTTGTTCTACAGAAAACTAAGCTATACAGCATACTGATCATCTGGTAAATCAGTGATCTGTAATCCACCAGGCATTTATTGACTTTATCCCAGTTCCGACCCACAAATGCAAACCAATGCTGTGTAATAGCGCTTTAGAGATTAGTAATTATGTAGTAGGTCTGACCAGCTTTCCCCCTGCCCTGGAAAGAGAAAGAGTTAAAAATATCCAATAATAAAAATAAAACACTCTAAACATCTTTAAAAGGAGGAAAAGGAGAAGCTGATTTAATGGTCTAATGAGGCCATCTTCCAGAGACTTGTTTTGTGTAGGGCTTGCTTTGACCTTTCCCTTTGCTCAGGAGCCCAACGCTTCATTTTTCACATTCTTGCAATTACGTTAACGCTTCAAGCATTTCTGACTCCAAGTCAGCTAGCAACACCAGGCATAACTCAACACTGTGAGTTTTTCTCCTCTCTGTAGATTCATTAACAGGTCACCGGGGTCCCAACTGAAATTTAAAACTGACTGGTTCTGTTGGGTTAGCTGAGTTATAGCAAGGGAGATGGCAGGAAAGGGGGTGAGAGAAGGGGAAGGGAGAGAAAAGACCCTAGGGTTTTTGCAAGGGAATATGTGTAAAAACCCTAAGTGGAAGATTAAAAGGTGTGTGTAGCTTTATCATCCACCCTTTTCTTTGGAGAGGAAAAAACACATCTGAAAGTCTTCTGGGGTATTGTGTTTTCTTTATTCTTTGTGAAACAAAGTGAAAACAGCCACTGCCTTTACATAAAAGGCTAAATGACTTCTAGACTTTGGCATCAGTTTGTACCACAGTGATGGATATGATGCTCCCAGACTTTAATTCCTATTTAATCTCTTTATGGGATATTGCAAATAATGAATATGGCAGATTATACATGAAAAGTGGGAAATAAATCTTTTTAAGGTTTAAAAACATGTGGTCTACAGGAAAGCACCAGGGAATAGTTTCAGTTTCATATTTTATGATACCAGGATTGTAATACCTGATTTGTCATATTCTGAGTTCAGTCACTGAAATGGTCTGATCCAGCCAAGTCAGACTGAGGTTGTGTTTCTTCAGGACCTTTTAGGAAATTCAGCACCTTTTTAGGATTAGACCTGGGGTGATAAGCTTGATCGTAAGTGAGAAGTCAGAAAATTATAGAGCAGTAAAAATATAAATGAGCATCACATACACTTTGCTTCACCCATGTGAGTGGGAAGTTAATTGATGTGTGGTTTTTTTGGTTTAGTGTTTTTTCTTTTTTTTTTTTTTTTTTATGGAACTGCTCATACTGACTGAAGATCTGCCCCTTTATAAATAATGTCTGAGGCTACTCTCTAGGGCAATATCTCAAAGTAGTTTAGAAACACTTCTGTGCCAGTTTGATGTTTGCCCCACAAATCTGTCCACAATAGCTTTCTGTAGCAAAGACATCTGGTTCAGGGCAAAGTCAGCTAAAATATTCACTGAAATTACATGTTCATCCCAGGTTAACTATCTGGAATGATATTTGTTGGAAAAAATAGATAGTATGTTTCCTATTCAGTATATACCATCTTGTAATAATGAAAGCGTAAAAATCAAATTTGTTTACAAAACTAGCTGATAAAACCCAAAGGTCTATCTTAGTATTGAAAATCTACTAGAACTGCATAAAGCTTTGAACTAAACTCTAGTAGACAGAAAAAGGAGAGGGCTGTTGATATTAATAAGAAAAAACCCCCATATTCATACTAAGTCTTTAGAAGCTAATCCAAAAGCTAATGCTACAACTTGTTTTTCCTAGTTTTGTAAGTATGGGTAAGCCTGCTGAAGCTAATATGCATATTTATCATAAGAATTCAGAAAATATTTTTATTCCTTTGTATTTTTACCTATAAAGCTATAGGGTATGATGGTATTGGAAGAGAACTGTCTCCTGTAAGAATGAAAATTCATGATAGAAAGGCTCAAACATCCAGACTGTGAAAAATCAAACTTGCTAACAAATAATGCTTCACTGGAGATGCATTATT